AGAGGAACAAAATAAAGGAACTTTTAAATTCTTATCTGTCTGCGTAGGAGGTTTGTCTGTCTACGGATCTTCCAATTAGCTGCTGCATTAAAAAAGGAAGTTTTGAACATCAATATTTCAGTCTGTTCTGTATGCGTGAGTGACGAGTAAAGGCAGCAACAGACTCTCTGTCTTTGGAAGCTTCTAATTGCTGCTCTAACAGCTGTTCTGTTGCGCAGCTTATAATTTTACAAATAAGAGTTTCTGCAACTGAAAATAAAACTAAATATTCTTCATCTCTACGATGAGTAAATATCCATTTGTAAATTATACGACTGCCCTGCTGTCATGTAGACCTGTGAAGCCTGTTGAACCTGCCCTCAAGGTTTCCATACGAGTATTGTAAGTTTATCTGAATGAACGGCGACACATGCTCCCGTACGGTTAATAAAAAGGTGTTCTGAGAAAGTGTGAATCACTACACCCACGTCCACGGCCCTTTAGCATGAAATATAACGAGGTTTTGCTGCAGCCGAAGCCGAAGGACAGCCGTGGACAGACGCGGATGTGCACGCTCGCTCGCGGACGCACACGCGGACAGATATCGCATGATCCTACTAAGCGAAGATAATGAGCTGTGGAGGACAGAGCCAAGCTAGCTGCTCTGCTAAGCTGAACTAACCATATCCTCTGCTGCCTTTTAGCTTCATATTTACATACACACTCTTAATATAGAGGTAGAGATCTCCAACTTTTTAATTTAGTTTTAGTTAAGATCGAATATGCTTGTGACAACAACCTCTGGTAGAAGTGTTTCCCTTTTAGACGTGAGAGAGTACACAGCACAACCAAAGAGCTCGCTCCCATTCTATCTTTGGCAAACAGTGACTTTACACCGTAGATAAACCTAGAAATGTTCCTTAAAGAGGGAGCCCTTGCCAAAGTATATTATGCAGCTCTTAATTCAGTGCGGAAAGTTCTGCTTTGTGCCAGAGAGCTACTCTTGATCAAAGTCATTAGTCACTTGATTTGGACTCTTTGCTGCTGAATAATTGAGGCTGAGAGAGGATAAAGAATTTGACTGTGTTGGCTCACTAGTGAAGAGGAATAAAGGGGAACTCCCCCCTTTGAGCGAGAGACAGGGGGAGGAGGAGGAGGAGGAGGAGAGAAATGGAGATAGGGCAGGGGGAACTGAGAGATGCATAAGAAAGAAGAGAGTAAATTCGAGGAATATTTAGAGGGAGTTAGTGTGGGTCTGATTTATGCTTTGTCTGCTCAGAGCTCTGTCCACCGAAGCACTGATGAAACATTTAACACCATGATATCTGTAACTACCACCCACGTTTGGGGTGGAATAAGTTCTTCAAGTCTGGGCAACTTTGCCCGTCTTTTTTTGAAACTTAAGACCATTCACTCAGAGCTCTTGGCACTCAGACTCTGGGCACTTTACTTCCCTTTTGGAGAGTGCAGTGCACCCCGTGAGCATATATCAACAAGATAATAGTGCTTTGATTTATGTTGTCTTGAGATGATGTAATATACAATAAAAATGTCCCGTCTTTTGTACTTGTTTTCAACTAATGTCGTCCGGTTCTGATTTATACCAGCGATTCTCTACCAAGTCGTCAACTTGCAGCTTAGTCAGTGGCCCTTCATGTCAAACTGTGGGTGGCGCTCGACGTGGCCTTAGTTCCAGTGGGAGTGAAGAAGTCAGGTGACGTACTAGAAAGAGTGATGAATGTCGTCAGATGGACGGGTTAATTACTCACAGGACTTTCACCCAGGAGACAGGTGTACCTGACCCGCGTGAAAGCAAAAGACAACGTTGACTTATTTTAATTTACGTCAAGTTACGCTACCTACTTAATTAATGCCGCTTATGTAAGGTAGCCTATTCAACTACGTAACAAACGTACTTATTCTAACCAGAACCACAATGACAAACACTCAAGACTTTCACCCAGGAGATCAATGTTCGCGACCCATGTGAAAGCAAAAAACAATGTCGACTTATTTGAAGTCACGTAACGCTATGTACTTAACTTACGTCACGTAAGTAACGTAGCCTTCTTAACTACGTTACAAATATTCATCTTTTCTTCAACCTAACCAAGTTGTTTCCTGTGAACACGGATGTTTATTTTGAGATGAAGCATACGTAGAGCGCCATAGTTTGAAGCGACTGACCGAGCTGTCGTAGTTGCCGAGTTCTGAGTGCGAGCGTGTTGGTGCACTGCATCCACTTACAGACCTGCGATGTATTATCTGGATACAGATCCTGAGAATATGTTGAATCCACTCATCGGTGTTAATATTGCGAAGGAGGCAGCTTGAACAGACTAAAAAGCCTGAAAAAAACTGTGCGCAGGAATATGTAGATTTCATTTTTGTAAACAGGAGTCCATTAGAATATAGCACGAATAGCAACCCGTAGCAAAATGTTGTGGTTGCAGTGGCTGGCAGAATGACAATGCTGAATTTTCTGCTGTTTTAGACTGATGAGACGACTGTGGTGCTGCGTGCATCCATCACGCTACAGTGCACGTCACCACTGCTGGCTGATGTTTGTGGTGTTTCATTCTGAGCGGTTATCATGTCACGTCAGGATGAAGCAATATTTGAGGGAAGGGGGAGGAGGAGGAGGAGGAGGGGGGGGCATCATAATCCTTTAAATATGGAGATAACGGCGCTCATTTCCAGGCGGTCCCTCCTGGAAGTGATTCATGCTGTTTGATCACATATAGAATAAAGAAGAGTTCCTACGTTCTCACCTCTGCACAGCTGACCAATCAGTGCCCGAAGTGGCTCGAAATGTCAGGCGTTGGTTTCAGAAAGTGACAGAAACTGTCGGAGGCGGTTCTTCCTCATAGGGCTCATTTATCTCCACTGAGATACATTCTACAGCTTCTATGAAGTGACAGACATGAGCACAAATGTGTGTGTATATACAGTATATACATATATATATATATACATATACACAAGTCAAAATGTGAAGTCTTATAGTGTCACCACTACATCTGGTTTAAAAGAGTCTTTACATTGTTGTGTCATCTTTAACCTCTCAGTGAAATGTGGTGAAAACACTTAATTTCTCTTCTTCAGCTTTGAAATCATGTTGGAAATATAATAATAGAGCACGTTGGAAGAGGCAAGTAAAGTATATAATGCTAGGGAACTGTTTTTTTATTATACTTCTTGATAGAGATATTCTGGATGCTGCTGCAGTAGTTTGAGGCTCAAACTCTTTATCATCATACGGACAAGCAGTCGTTGGCCATGAACTCTTAGATCTCAGGCTCCCTCTATTAATGCTCATTAAATATGTATTTTCTTTTTAATAAATCACACAAGTAAGAGCAAAATGAGAATCTTAGAGTGCAAGTTAAAATAAAGACGTGAATAAAATATAAAATAGAGTAATAGTAGATTTGTGGTACTGTATTGAAAATGAACAAACTGGATGTAAACAGGAATGTAGTAAATATATATATATATATATATATATATATATATATATATATTTATTAACAAAGATGTACAATGTAAATGTACATTTTCATATTTTCACATATGTGTTACTATTGCACCGTGTTTATTGTCACGCACCAACCAACATGTTCGCATTGTTAATATAGTTATTGATTACTTTCAGTAAAGTTGGAGAGTAAAGTGGTTTAATGCATTTCTCTCCAGCAGCAACATCAGGGAGAGGATTTGTGCTGCAGCTGCACCAACACTGTGGATCACTCAGATTAACTAAAACGTTAAAGGCTCGTCCTTGAGCTCTATTTTTGGTGTATGTGGGGGGGGGTTAAGACAGTGGACTTGACTTGGTATGAAGAGATCTCAGACCAGCTGCGTTGGTAAACATCAACGGGCTGTATAGAGTTTACCGATGTCTCGTTTGCATCGTGTCTCTCTGACAGTTAAAGGTGAGGGCAGCTGATTTAGCACATCTGCTGCCCTCAGAGGAGCTGCCTCAGACTGCTGTAGGTTAAACCGCTGTAACACCTTTGTCTCAGTGTTCATGAAGACTGGGACCAGTACTTTAATCTGGGTTTATGGACTTCTGTATTCTGGACTGACTGTTGTCTAATCTGTTATTCAGCAGCTGTTGGTATCAAACCAAAGCCAAACGAAGCTCTTCTCTTTTTTCTCTTCTGACATTTAGAATTTTTTCTTTCTTCCGTGGTGATTGTGAAAAACAGTTTAGATGAAAACTGTAATCTGTTATTTTAAGCAACACGTGTTGTTCAAAATAGAAAGGCTTTAGCTTTGTATTTGCATCTAATTTGAACTGTTGATGGAACCTCGTCTTATCCAGGCAGCAACCTCCGGTTCTGAAGAGTGAAGCCGATGCGGAAGTCTATTAAAGCTGCATTCTCTCTAATGTCCACCAGGGGGCGACTCCTCTGGTTGTATAGAAGTCTATGAGAAAATGACTCTACTTCTCTCTTGATTTATTACCTCAGTAAACATTGTAAACATGAGTTTATGGTCTCAATCTCTAGTTTCAAGTCTTCTTCAATACAGCATGATGTTCATTTAGTACATTATGGTCCATTTAGAGTCAAACAGACCATAAAGCAGGGGATGCTTTAGGGCGGGGCTACACAATGATTGACAGGTCTCTACCAGAGACGTATACGGCGTCTCTACGTCACTCATCCTCAGTCCAGATATGGTCACTTCCTGTTCACTGGTTCAAAAAACCAACATGGCGACGGCTGTAATCCAAGATGGCGACTATGTTATCGCCAAACTGGAGGCTTCAAAACATCAGTCCACAAACCATGGGTGACATCATGACCACGTCCATTATATACAGACTATGATCTTATCTCACCTGACTTCACCTCACCTTCGTCCTCTCTGTTAAAACACTCTCATGTGGATTACTTCATGTTCAGATGACCATGAATCCTCCGCACTCTCAGACCTCTGAACCCATGTACAAATATTGATGATCACACAGTTTTAAATCACATGTTGACTCACACTCCCTCGTCTCTGTCCAGGCTGTGAGAGCGACTTCTGGGGGCCCCACTGCAGCAGCCGCTGTCAGTGCCAGAACGGGGCCAAGTGTAACCCGATAACCGGAGCCTGCGTCTGCACCGACGGCTTCCAGGGCTGGCGCTGCGAGGAGCCCTGCGACCCCAACCTCTACGGTAAAGACTGCCTGCTGGAGTGCCAGTGCCTCAACGGCGCCACCTGCCAGCATCAGACCGGCGAGTGTCTGTGTGCGCCGGGATACACCGGAGCCTTGTGAGTAGCCGGGGGGGTAGCAGAAGACCTCAGATCTTTTGCTAAATTAAACACATCAAAAATATACAATAATTCATCAAAAAAACTATTTTGACACCATATGGTACACACACGGTTCTTCTGATCTGATCCTCTTTGAACCAGCTGCTGCTCTGCTCAATCTACAACACTCTTAACATTTCTACCTTTCTAATGATATTAAGTCTGGGTTTGTCATTGTGTTAGAGTGAAGCACATGAATATATAAATCAAACACAACACACAAGAGTGTGTTGTACCGGTTCTGAAAGGTGAAGCCAAAAACTGAAAACTGTAATTAATGCTTCCTCGTTTGTCTCCACAAATGATTTTTTTGTGTCTACCCTTTAGAGAATATGCTCTATTTTGGATTTTCAGTGCAAAATATAACCCTTGGAAATACATTGTGTTAAAAGATTTTTTACGATGTGGAAAAAGATAAATATCATTATTATTATTATATTTATATGTACAGTACAACCAGAGTAGAGTCCTTTTCTCATAGACTTCTATACAACCAGAGGAGTCGCCCCCTGATGGACACTAGAGAGAATGCAGCTTTAACACATGAAGCTTCACTCGGGTTGCCTTCTTGTCTCTTCCCTCCAGCTGTGAGGAGCCTTGTCCCCCCGGTAAACATGGCTCCCTGTGTGAACAGCGATGTCCCTGTCAGAACGGAGGAGCGTGTCATCACGTCACCGGAGAGTGCTCCTGTCCCGCCGGCTGGGTGGTACGAGCTGCTTCACGTCCACAACTAAACCAGCTAATGTGCACGTTTACCCAAGTTCAGCTAACAGGGAGTGTTACAAATGTCTCACCTTTATTCTACTGACTTGTACCTGAGCAAAGTTTGTCACTAGAGAGGCTTTTTTGAAGGGGAAGATTTCTGTGCACTTGCCTATAATATGAGATTCAAACAAGCTAGATTTAGGAAGTCACAAATACACAAATGCCTGCAAAGAAACCTGAAACCTCCAGGGTGGGGCGGACTTGTCAGTTCGGAGTACAGAGAGTAGAGTGTGCAGTTTGTGGATGTAAACTGGACCCTGGAGCTCCTTTCCACTATCAATGCCAGTCACAAGCTAACAAGCTAGAAAACAACGTGAACAAATAGAAGATGCTAACGACACCATTCTGATACCGCGATAGTCGTTCATTTTGTTGCACAAGAGACTCTTCATCTGAGTCTAACAAACGAAGAAAAAAAACAAATAGATTGTGAGTTGGACGAGGCCAGATCCAGAATCTCTCAGTAACGGGGAGAAAAAAGTCTCTTTTTATGTGTTACACAGAATATGAATCAAATCAGAGTATTTCTCACATTCGTTAAAACGTGTCTGGAGGGGAACTTTAACGGGATAGTTTGGATGTTTTGAAGTGTGTTTGTATGAGGTTCTTCTCCATAGTCAGTGCTTTACTACAGTAGATGGAGTTTGGAGAAATATTTAGAATATTTTCACCTCTTTACCTTTCTGACGGGAAACTGAAGCTGTTATCTATGATCTCTACAAAGACACAAGACAGTCACAAAGACACAAAACAGTCACAAAGACACAAGACAGTCACAAGACACAAGACAGTCACAAGACACAAAACAGTCACAAAGACACAAGACAGTCACAAAGACACAAGACAGTCACAAGACACAAGACAGTCACAAAGACACAAGACAGTCACAAGACAGTCACAAGACACAAGACAGTCACAAAGACACAAGACAGTCACAAAGACACAAAACAGTCACAAAGACACAAGACAGTCACAAGACACAAGACAGTCACAAAGACACAAGACATTATACTGTAGATGAGTTTCGCTTTCAGTTCAGTTCCTTATTGAAAAATATTCTAAATAAAGCTTAAAACTTAAACTGATATAGATTATAGTCTAAAATACGTCCACAGCAGTACATTGCTTTGCTCCCGAATCTCCCGAATCTTCGGTACCAAGTCGATGCCCAAATTCTAAAGATGTGACGGTATTCGTTTTTTCTGCATCGCCGTGGATCAGGGCTCGAGACTTAAAGCGTCCCGTCGTCCAGGGGACAATAGAAAATGTCCCTGATAATGTTACAAGACATCTGTGTTAAAATCAGCAGGAGGAGAGCTAGTTATCGTTAGCGGTTAGCGGTTAGCAGCCGGTGGGCAGAACAGTCCTGCTCGGCTATATAACTGAGCTAACGCTAGCGGAGGTTCCATTGAGTTGTTTTATAATGCATTCACCTCTATTCAGTAGAGTAGAGCAGTGGGCGAAGGTTAAGTACACCGCTATCATGATGTGTTTAAATGTAATTGTAAAATGTAGTTATTGATAAGAAACTTGAAGCAAATCATCAGAGATTAATTACGAATTTGCAAAAACCAACATCTGAACGGTAATAAAGTCAGTTGAGGTGGAATTTACTGTTTTGTTTTTACTGTGGTCATCCCAACCTCATACAACCAAACTCTAAAAGAACCAAACTTTCCCTTCAAGCCCAAATCTGAGATCACCATGTTTGTGTTTCATATTTCAGCTTTTTCATATAAAAGAAAGGTTTCCTCCTCAATGTTCAATATTGGCGTTTAGTATCATCACGGACACTAATACTTACTCATTTAACTCTGCACCTGCTCAGACTTCTGCAGCTTTTACAAGTTCATGAGATGAAATCTTACTTTCATTTTTAATTCAAAATGAGTGAATAATATATCCATAGTGTTAAACACTTGGTTATATAGTCTAATTACCCTTTGATCACATGTTATTTCCTGATCTGAATCTTAATTTATGTATCAACCTCTGTTGTCACAACAACATATTTCTCTCATTAAGATAATGAAAACATTTCATTTAGTTATCTCTAGTGAAACTAATAATTAATTTACTGATTGCTGTGTACTGAACACGAGTGTGTCCCTCTGTACTCATGTAAACACGATGCTTGTGTCTTCCTCCTCCTCAGGGGCCCGTCTGTGCACAGCCGTGCTCCTTCGGATCGTTCGGCATCAACTGCTCTCAGGAGTGCACGTGTCGCAATGGCGGCCTCTGCGACCACATCAGCGGTCAGTGTCAGTGCACCGCCGGCTACATCGGAGAGAGGTACGGTGTGAGCGCACCGCTGTGTGAAACCTTATCGGACCCCTCGGGGAAATTAACTTGTTGCAGCTGAAAATATTAATGGAATTCAGCAGGCAGGAAGATAAATACGGCAACACAGTAAGATATGTGATAAACAGTAAATACAGAGTGGGGACTCATGAAAACACTAAGGCAATGGTGTCAATGTAAACATGTTAGGAGGAAGTACAGAGGAGCGTGTTTTCTGTCTGCCTCTCTACTGTAACTCATCCATTAAAGGCACAGTGCCCAAAATAACTCATTAAAAAGTCAGCCTCGGTTGACCTCCGTCTTCAACACATACTGATAAAGAGTCATGCAACACTCTGCACCTCTCTGTCCATGTCCTCAAAATTAGAAATAGATTGTGACGTTTGAACTGTGGATTCATCTGCCGTACAGAATATGGAGACTTTATGTTCCGTGTTATATGTCAATGTCCTTCCCTCCTACTTTCTCCCACATCGCATTAATTGCTATTATGCACTTTAAAAATAGTTTCCTCCTTTAACTCCTCCATCATCTCTGACTCTCTTCTATGAGCACTTTTCTGCAGCCCCGCCTCCTCTCTGGTCCGCTCCGTCTCTCCCCTCCTTCCTCTCCCTCCATCTTTACTCTCAATTGAGCCAAATCACCTCCATTCATTTTGGCCCCAGACAGGTGAATTAGCCTACATGGAATAATTCCCAGATTGAGTTCTCCTCCTCCCACGTCCACGTTCTAATGGAATTAGCCGAGATAAGAGTCCTGAGGAAGTCAGCATGATTTAAACGTGACACCAAACAGAAAAATCCTCAACGGGCCATTTTAATTGAGTGATTTGTCTATTTCTTAATGGTTTCAACTTGCGTACGTGTGGAGAATGAAGCTCAGCCGAACTTTAACTTAAACAAATTATTTTTTTTCTGTTTAATGCCGCTCTGTGTGTGTGCTCATTATAGAGACCGCTCAGGGTGTCGGCTTAATGTCGTAGCCTGTTGACCCTCGTGATGGTGTGACGGCAGAGCGAGTTATCAGTGAGGAGAGTGAAGTGATGACACCGCTCTGTTTGAATTGTTCGGTAGCAGCAGGAGAATATTTCTATGAGTTGTAAATGTGTGTTTAAAGGATCATTCATGTCAGCTTTTCAGTTCTTTTACATGCACCCACTTTTGTTTTCGGGATGTGAAATGTACACAGATGTTGTGTTATTTCTGTCTCTGTGAACATGATGCTGAGAGAGTCCTGGTCCTTCAGGCCCTTGTCTACACTTATCCAGATATTTCTTTTAACGGATATTTTCCTCTGCTTTCTGGCCTCTTGGTCACCAAAACGGATGTTGGTGAAAACTCCTGTTACTTTGTATCTTTGTGAACAAAAACAAGTTTTATGTTGTGTTAGCACTGCTCGGTCTAATGACCGCTTTACTTCTTAATATATATATATATAGTAAGAATACATGATGATATGGAACTCATATTTACAGGTAGATTATTCCAATCAGAGGCAGCTTTAACATAAAGGTGTTCTTAGCTGTTGACTTAGAGACTGCAGGAACAGAGAAACAGAGTGTTTCAGTTGATCATTTGAGGAGAAAAGGTTCCATCAACTGTTTTAAGTAGTGAGTGTAATTGAAATGTGTACATTTAAAAATAAGCTGCAGCCAATGCCGCTGTCTTCTTATGGAGGGAGAAGGCAAACCTTGAGCTTCATACACTGTACAGTGGTGAGTTATGAAAGGACAGCCAAGAACTATATATATAGTTTATACATATATAGGATCTACGTTCAATTCAGAAAACAGCGTTTATTTTATGTTTTATAAAGTGAATCTATACACAAGGATTCACTTTATCTCCAAGGATTGCATGCCCACTTAAAATACCATCTTTGAAATTAGATTATCTTTATTAACCAGAGATGAATGAAAGACAATGTCCTGTAAAGATGAGCTTTAAAAGCTCTGTACCTGGAATCATCCTCTTCATTATGCTGACGTACACCTTCCCCTCATCGCTGCTTTCACTCGCTGTTTTTCATCACGACTCAGATGTCAGGATGAATGCCCGGTTGGCACTTACGGGCCGCAGTGCGCCCACAAGTGCGACTGTCAGAACCGAGCCAAGTGCTACCACATCAACGGGGCCTGCCTCTGCAACGAGGGCTTCAAGGGCCCCAGCTGCCAGGACCGCTTCTGTCCCCCGGGCCTGTACGGACTCAGCTGTGACAAATACTGCCCCTGCAAAGCTGCAAACACACTCAGGTACTGAAACCGCCCGTCGCTTTCATTCTCCACCCGACGCAGCGTGAACAGAGGAAGGTTGTGTTTGAGTTACTGCATGTTCAAGTGGTCATTCTAAAGCCGAGGGGTCCTGATGGCAAAAACACGGTCACCTTTGGTTTTCAGCCTCGACTTTGGAACAACTAGAAGGGCCCCAGCCCGAGGTCCTGAGGCTGCAAGCTGGCTCATAGAGGGTCAACATGTTGTATATACGTGCTTTAAAAGTGATCAGTATATTAAAATCAATTCTAAGAGGAGCAGGGAGCCAGTGGAGAGAAGCCAGGATTGGAGTGATGTGATGTCGTCTGTTAGAACCAGTGAGCAGCAGAGGTTGATGCCAGAGAGAAGCGAGTTACAGTAATCGAGCCTTGAAAAGATGAATGCATGAATGACTTTTTCCAGGTCTGGGTGACCTGGACTTTACGATGTACACCGACTGACTTCTCATCCCTTCTCCCTCTCAGCTGCCACCCTCTGTCGGGAGAGTGCACCTGTGCGGAGGGATGGGCGGGGCTCTACTGTAACGAGACCTGTCCGGCGGGTTACTACGGCGAGGGCTGCAGAGAGCCGTGCGCCTGCACCAACGGAGCCGACTGTGACGGCGTCACGGGAGCGTGTCTGTGCGCTCCGGGGTTCATAGTAAGAGACACAAACAGCTGCTGATTCACATCTGAATTACATCACTGCTTCACATTAACATCAGGAGCTGCAGGTGTTTCATGAGAATACTTGTGGATACTTTAACTGTTTAACTGCTCTGTTAATGTGCGTAAAGTTAACAGACCAATTCAATTAAATAGTTTTGCATTAAGTGGTCGAAAAACAAATTACTTCTGCGGACAATGTGCTGAAATGATAGTTTCACTCGCTGCCGGTCTTTTGCTTTTGAAAGGAAAAACAATGTATTTGAGTTGGACAGGAGGACTAATAAATCAACCAAAGACACATGTAACATTTCTAATCTACTGTCCTCGTAAAGCGGTTCTTAAGATGAAGAGCTTTTTGTTTATATCTCCTCTGTTTTTCTACAAATGTCCGTCAACGCGAGCGTTCAGTGCGCCTGTACAAACCCCTGCAGTGTTTAGGAAACAAAACTACTTGGTCAGGTTGAGGAAAAGATGGTGATTTGGGTTAAAATAAGTACAGAGGTGTTGTTACTTAGAGTGTATCTTCACCCACAGGTCTGAGCCTAACTCCACCCACCGCATCATTTTGAAAGACCCTAAAATAGTGGGCGAGGGGCTGAGGAGAGGGGTGTATGGATGTGTGAGGCAGGAGCAGCTCAGTGGCTGTCAACCAGGCGGTAACCTCCGGTTCTGACGATGCTTCATGTCTTCAAACCTGCATTCTATCTAATGACCACCAGGGGGCGACTCCTCTGGTTGTCTATGAGAAAATGACTCTACTTCTCTCTTGATTTATTCCCTCAGTAAACATTGTAAACATGAGTTTATGGTCTCAATCTCTAGTTTCAAGTCTTCTTCAATGCAGCATGATGTTCATTTAGTACATTATGGTCCATTTAGAGTCAAACAGACCATAAAGCAGGGGATGCTTTAGGGCGGGGCTACACAGTGATTGACAGCTCTCTACCAGAGACGTATACGTTTAATCACAAGTGTATTAAAAAATCACGATTTAAACAAATACAATTCTGGTGTAAACTGCTGAAGGTGTAAATGAACTCTTCATTCAGAACTTTAGTATCTTTGCTGAGGGACCGGATTCAGTTCGGAGGCTCTTTCCAGCCAACATGTGAAGATATAAGGTGTGCAGGCTTCTGTGGCAGCAGGTGCAGAACACGCTCTGTAACATGCTGAGGTTCATTCATCAGCTGCTGATGACGCTGCAGGTTCAGTCGTAGAGTCACAGGACACGGCTCTTAATGTAGAACGGCTACTGCAGGTGCACTTTACAGTAGGTCAACCTAAAGGAGAGAGAGTGTGTGTGTGTGTGTGTGTGTCACTGTCAGGGCAGGTTTGTGTGTGTAAGCTGTAAGAAGAGATTCACTTCATCAGGACCTCCATAACATCTTCAACCTGTTAGCAAACGCATGAAGCCTGTGAGCTAAATGCTAACACATCTAAGTTTAGCCTGTTAGCATCAGAAGTGAATGTAAGTACATTCACTCAAAATCTGTACTTAAGTACAAATTCAAGGAACTTGCACTCTATAACTTTATACTTCTCCTCTACTACATCTCAGAGGTACATATAGTACTTTATACTGTACTACATCT